CATTTTGTAAGGCAGTCGTCAATTCGTGTGGTACAAAGACTTTTCCACCAGGAATTGTCATCACCCCAATATAAAGGGACTGATTTGCCGAAGAAGGAGCAGCAGTGGGTGGTGGTAACTAACTTCAAACACTCACTGAGTGCCTACTGTGTGTCAGACACTGTGCTCGTGGTGCCATGCTGGCTGACTTCTAACAAAGAGACCGTAAGTGAGCCATAACCGTGAAGTACTTCGGTTAGAACACAGATGTGCAGGCAGCTGGGGGAACATCTGCAGAGGGATCTGACCTGGTCTCAGGACCAACCTTGTCTGCAGAAGAGGTGTTTAAGACTGTTGGGGGTGACATCTGAGACATCTTAGACCGCAGATCAGACGCACGCCCACAGGTGCCCTGCAGCACTGTGACTGGTCGCTGAGGGTGCGGAGGGGCTTCAATCAGAGCATGTTGTCCTGGTTGGCTTCTGGGCCTCTGGGCAGCAGCTACTAACCATTGGCCTTTAGTTTAGAGCAGTGGTTCTTAAAGATCAGTGGGCCCTAGACCAGTAGCATTAATATCACTTGGGAACTTGTTAGAAATGTGCATTCTTAGTCCCCACCCCAGACTCACTGATGGGTGTAGACGTGTCCTGCCAGTGTATTTTAACAGGCCCGTGGTTTCCCAGGGATTCTGAGGCATGTTATAATTGGACTAGAGTCCAAGGTCATTCTTGAATGGGCCACGGTTTGGTCCACAATTACACTTCTTTTTCTCATTCTTTCTTCTGCGTACTCAACACCATGTGTTACTATATACATAGCATACACTATCTACCAGGCACACAGGAGCAAATGAGGCAGACCTGGCCCTTGCCCTCGAAGATCTTATGCCCAGTGGGTTTCCCGGAATCCAGTCTTTAACTCCTGCTTCTCATAGGATGTTTCTGCTTTGTAAAATACTGCTTCCACTTCTCTTTGCTCCTTTTACCATAATGCCTTGGGGAATCAGGAAGAGCTGGGATGCTTTTCCCCTTCTGTAAATGGAGTCACTGGCCCTGTGGAATTTAGACTCTTTGCCCAAAGTCATGGCATTCCATGGCTCCAGGCTGGCTCTCTTATGTAACAGTACTTTTTGTGTCAGATGAGTTTCTGGAGCCCTTCGCCCACCGTGTGATAAAGATGTGCTCCTGCCATCTTTCCAATGTAGCAGAGGAGGGTCTCAGCAAGCCTCTGGCTGGCATTGCTCAGAAGCACAGGCCTGGCCCTGCTCCATCCCAGCCAAGGGCAGATGTCCTCAGACACATGCAGTCACCTAATCACCCTCAAACCTGGGAGCAGCTCTCAAACATTTGTGAAGACTTTGCTGGGATGTTCTGCCAAGCTGTCAGCATCTTCTGGTGGATGACATTGAGAATTTCCATCAGTAGTCAATCTCTTGGCCAAAGTGAACGTCAACAAAATGAAGCGGGGAGGCAGGAGGAAAGGAGGAGAAACAGCTGGCAGGCAGGCTGAGCTCTTTCCCCAGCTCTTGTCCACAGCGTCACATGCCTTCTCCTTGTCAGGCCGCCCACCCTCTCCTCCCACTCCCACCCTCTCCTCCCACTCCCACCCCTTCATTGTGGTGCACAAAAGGGAAACGTGCGTGGGAGTCAGCATGTGACAAGACTGGTCTGGAGTAGCTCTGATAAATAACGCTCCGAAATCGAGTTCATTTTGCCCCTGCAGAGCCAACACTGAGGCACTCTCAGATACCAGATCCCTCCCACTTGTAGCTGGGAGCAGAAAGCATGACTCTGAGTTGCAAACACCCACTCCCATTGGCTGGCCAAGCCCCTTTGTGGCGCATCCCTGGCTTTGCGGGCGCATACAACCCGCAAAGGGCACACGTAAAGGAGCTCAGCCCGCGAGATTTATGGTGCCGGGTGACAGGCCCCCTCCCACAGACCAGAGAAGAGACACAATCTGCTAGAAGTGACTTTTCAAATGATCTGCAGAAAACATTAGTGGCTATTTTCCCATCTGCATGCCTCTGGGCCTTATTGAGTCATAAAAAGTAAATGATTTCCCCTGAATGTTTTGACAAACCTGATAGTTCCCAGCCATTCCCTCGCTGATTGATTTGCCGTTATGCATGGGGATTGAAGTGCGCAAAAAGGGTCACAGGCAAGACTCTCAGGGGACAGAACCAGAGTCCAGTAGGCAGGGCTGCCTGCGGGAAGATGCTGTGGCTGAGAAAACAAACAAATAGCAAGGCTTGGTTGGTTGGAGGAGCTACAAAGCACAGGAGGAAGGCTTCCCAAAGGAGGTAGCTTGTCGCACAACCTCAAAGGAGGTGGCAGGCACCAACTCACTTGTGAGAAGGTGGCAGGAGGTAATTAAAACAGAAGAAATTAAAACAGGCAATCTCCTCTCTAGGCTAAGGCCCAACGAGCTCAGAAACTATGGCCAGAGGCTACAGATAGGAGGCCTCACTCACTGCTCGGCTTCCTCACATGAGCCTGGAAGAGCAGGTCAGTAGGTTGCAGGCGGCCCTGTGAGCAGTGACCCTGCAGGCCTGCTGTCACCAAGATCCCCGAGCTGGCACAGGTCCAGGAGGAACAGTGTATGGGGCCTTGCTGGACTTCAGCACCTCTTCTGGCAGCAACTTTGTCCCGGAAATGGTGTGCTGGGTGCCAACTTCCTGAGCTACCCTTGATCTAATGGGAACAGGGACATGGGCCTGGACTGCTGTGGAAGGAAGGAAGATGAGGTGCTGAAGTGGCCACTGGCTCAAGTTCGAGCTTTGAGTCTCCTGGGAAAACACAACTTTGACCTTTCCCAAGGGTGATGTAAAAGGCCATGGCCTCTGCTGGGAATGTTAGTCCCTGGGGCCTGCACTGCCTGAGCACCGTCCGGCCCATCCCAGAGCACCCCCACGCTGTACCACGGGGACTGGGCATGAGGACAGATGGGGGATTAGAGAAGCTTCCCCTGTCTGCCTGTCTTCTGCAGAGGGGGAGGAGTCCTTACTAATACCACTAATTCACTGACAAATGAGGTCTGTGAAGGGTCCAAAGGGTGAGGCCTTGCAGTGTAACAAAGGGAGCCAAGGACAGAGGAGGCATTGTCAGCCAGATGGCACGCACCTCCCTATGTCACTCCTGTTGGGAAGATGCACAAAAAAATAAACTCTCCCCTCAACAAAAAGCAGAAACATTACCAAGTACGAGATATGACATAGAAGACAAAGACAAACGCTTATTAGGAGTCCTGGAGTAGAGGAATGACTGGAGTGATGGGGAGGTCACTAAGGAGGTGAATTTTGTGACAGCCATAAATTAAGGAAATTAAGAGTATGGTCTGGGAAAAAGAGGGGAGAGGGGCATTTCAAACAGGTGCGTGAAAACAAGCCAACAGCCTGAAATGGGAGGAGCATGAGCAAAGGCACTGAGGTCCACAGTACCACCTGAGACCCTGCAGGGCAGATAGATGCTCTCTGGGGGTTCAGTGACAACAGAGTGGCTGGGGCAGGGGCCTTCACTGAGACCATCACTAGGCCCAGCTGTAAAAAGAGGAACTTAGAGACCTAAGGCCTGGGGCTCTGTCTCTGGGCAAATGAGGAATCTAGGAAGATAAAACGCATCCTCAGACCCTCCCACCAAAAGAAGTCTGCCTTTCTAAGACATACATCTCATTGTGTCTACTCCTCTGCTCAAAGATATCAGCAGCACCATGTTACGTAAAGGTGAAGTCCAAACTCCTCTGTTCTGTCTCCCCAGATCATGGCAACCATGTTTTAAGTCCAGAACACTTTCTCTGCCCCTGTCTCTTTGCTGGCAGCAACTCTGTCTGAAAGGCCCTCTACACCCCTCACACCATCTACCAAAGTTCTGCCATCTGGCCAGGGCCACCAAGGACCACCTCCTCCAGGAAGCCTTCCTTCATGTCATACTCAACCAACCTTTCTTCCCTTCTCCATCTGCATTGCAGCCCTGGATACATCCAGCTTGTGTTAGAGCTGCTTATGAACGAGCCTCTCTCCTATATCACATGATGCGTCTTAGTTCCCTACCAGTAAAACCAGTTGCTTCCAGCTCATGACGACTCGTGTGTGTCAGAATTGTGCTCCACGGGGTTTCCGATGGCTGATTTTTTAAGTAGATTATCAGGTCTTCTGAGGTTCCTCTGGATGAACTTGAACCTCCAATCTTACAGATAGCAGCCGAACACATTAACTGTTCATACCACCCAGGACACCGATTAGTTTCCTAAGATGCCATAACAAATTACCACAAGCTGGGAGGCTTGAGACAACAGACCCTTATATTCTCTCAAGGTCTGGAGGCCAGAAGGCTGGTATCAGGAGGGCTATGCTCCCCCCATTGGCTCTAGAGGAGAGTCTGTCTTTGCTTCTTACAGCTCCTGGGGGCTCCAGGTGTTCCTTGGATGGGGGCATCATGACTTCAGTCTTCGTGCCTCTGTCTTCACATGGGCTTCTCATGATTCTGCCTGAATCAAGTCTCTCCTTCAGCCTTCTTCTTATAAAGGCCTGACACTGGATTTAGGGTCCACCCCGATAATCCAAGATGATGTCATCTCAAGATCCTTAGTTACATCTACATCTTATTTTTCCAAATAAGGCCACATTCACGTGTTCCTGGGTCAGGACATGGACATAGCTTTATTGGGGGCCACCTTCGACACACTACAGGGTCCCAGCAGGTCCTGTGTTCCCCACAACACCCAACACAAAGTTTTGTCTATTTAACTGTTCAGTAAACGTCTGTGGAACGAGATGGAGCCTGGAGAGCGGTGCTTTGTCAGAGCGTCCTCCTCTAGGTGGTGAGAATCCAAGGAGGACAGCCGCCCTGGCCTCTGCCCTGGATCTCTTCCCGCCCCATGCTCTGGCCTCCACAGATAGGCCTTGTCTTGGAGGTCGAGTTCTCGTCCCATTTCTTCCCACTTTTTGACCTTGTTCCCCACCCCACGATCTGGATCGTTAATATTTTACACATGAACTTAAGAGCTTTCTTTTCCTTATTTAGGCACAAAATGAGCTGATGAATTCAGGCTTGTACCTGGTGCTGTTGCTTCACCTCTATGAGCAGAGGTTTGCAGAACTAATGAGACTCAACTACAGCCGGGTTGCGAGAGAGAGGGTAAGTCTGGCTCTTACCGGGAGCCATCTGGCAACAGCCCTCAAAACCTAGCAGTTTTGCTTATTAGATGTACAATCTGCTGAGGTCCTCACGGTCACTTGGTAGGATATGGGATTGTCATTGCTAAGACTAAGACTTAGCAATTGTGGCATACACACAGTGGCTGTCTGGCTGAAAAGTGATAATCACATCGTTTACTATTAAACTTAAGTAGTAATTAAATGGTTATCAATGATCATATAAGTGAGTATCCATGGGTATCTACCCCCCTAAAATAGAAGCCAGCAAGGTTGCTAAGACTGGGAATGCATCATGTATGGGCATGCCCACTGCCCAAGCATGGAGGGTCTATGAGAACCTGGACCTCCCCTATGGGAGAGCTGTTTAAATAGCAATCAAACCGTAAGAGAGGCCTCTCTGTGTATTTTGTTTTGGAGCCCATGGTAAATAGTGCCAGTGTGTGTATGTGTTAGTGTGTGCATGTGTGTGACTGCTGGAGGAGACAGACTGCCAAAGAAATAGAAGTTCTGATGTATTACCATTTTTCATTAGAGAACTGACAATGTATTTACCAAGAAGAATCATGGGTGGCTTCCCTTTCTTTAACAAGAAAACCAGGGCTCTAGGAGGCTGCATGGTGCAGAAAGAGAATTTTGGCTCTACAAGTAACAGGTGGCTAGTCTTAGCAACATCCTTAATGCTCAGTGGAATCATCCTTATGGAAAAACGAGGGCACTGGACTGGCTGACTTCTCAAGTGTCCTAGTTTACTTGGTTACTGCTCTGGTTACCTAGTGCTGCTCTGACAGGAATACACCATAAATGGGATGGTTTTAACAAAGAGGAGTTTATTCTCTTACAGAATAGTTTGGAGGCTAAAAGTCCAAGTTCAAAGTGCCACGCTCTAGGGGCTGGGTAGCCCTCAACTTGGGGCTTTAGCTCTGCCTCTTGCTCCCAGCCCACTGAAGCTGGAGGCTTTTCTTCACTCAGGAAACTGCTGGCTGCTGAGGCTGAGAAGCCCGAGGTCAACAGATAAAATGGCACAGTCCTAATACTACCAAACCACACAGCAGACCATTGATTCAAGTCCCATTAACAGTCCCAATATCAGCAGACAATATGGCAGGCTGCTGAATAATGATTTGGCAACATGCAGAGTTCAAGCATGCCAAAAGCTGGAGACCTTCCTCAAAGTTGCTTCTTATATACTGGAAGCCGACCACATCTCTAAAGCAGCTAGTCAGCTGCTCTAGTAGAGTCCACCATGGAGTTAATTATCAATCTCACCATGGGGAGTAACTACATTCAGCTGCCCAGCCACTCAAAACCAGGCCCAGCCAAGTTCATACATAACCTTAACTACCACAGTCATTGTCAAGTCAGATCCATGAACCCCAAGGGACTTCTTAGCTATCTAGTGCTGCTGTGACAGAAATACCACAAGCAGATGGCTTTAACAAACTTACTCTCTCACAGTTTAGGAGGCTAGAATTCTGAATTCAGGGTGCTAGCTCTAGGGGAAGGCTTTCTCTCTCTTTTGACTCACAGTTTAGGAAAAAGGTATTCCTTGGACATCTCCATGTGTCTTGGCATATATCTAACCCTGGGTCTAGGAGGTTCTCAGCTTAGGGACCCTGGGTCCAAAGGATGTGCTCCACGCCTGGCTCTTCTTTCTTGGTGGTAGTAGGTCCCTCTGATCTCTGCTCACTTGTTTAATCTTTCTTATATCTCAAAAGAGGGACCTTGGTGGCTAAGTGGTACCTTAGTGCCTAAGGCATTTGACTGCTCACCAGAAGGCTGGCAGTTCAAACCTACCAGCCACTCCTCGGAAGGAAGACTGGGCAATCTACTTCAGTAGAGATACCACCTCGGAAACCCAAGGAAGGGTCGCTATGAGTCAGAACCAACTCAACAGTAGTGAGTTTGGTTTGGTTTATCTCAAAAGAGATTGACTCAAGACTCAACCTAGTCCTGTAGACTGTATCCTGCCTCATTAACATCATGAGAGAGGTGAGAATTTACAGCATAGGAAATAATTACATTAGAGCACAAAACAGAGGATAATTATTTAATACTGAGGCTCATGGCCCAGCCAGGTTGATATTTTGGGGGCACACAGTCTAATCCATAACAACTTCTTTCTTCATTAAATGCTTCTCTGTGGCCAGGCCAGGAGAGAGCATTGCCAGGCCAGGGTACCCTTCCTTCAAGGTTGTGCCAGGGGCTGTTATGCTTTGACTTTATGTATTCTCAGAACACCCTTGAAACTTAGAATTTGACCACCACTCATGTCAGGAGGTCATGAGCAGAAAGTGAGCCAGGGTTTCAGTGGACAAGCCACCAAAGCTGCCATAAAACAGTTCAAGGGGAACTCTGCCACCCAAGTACCGCTCTTTCTTCTTTCTCTTCACTTTTTTCTCTTCTTCCTTTTCTTCTCCTCCTTTCTGTTTCTACCTCTCTTTGCTCTCCTCTCCTCTCTTCCTACAAATGGACAAGAGGCATCTGCTGGCTTCAGTCACTGCTTGGAGGT